TCATAAAAAATTCGACTGATCGAACAAATATGCTGTTTAATGTGAACTAAAATGCGAATATGATACATTAATTCTTATATTCTGTTTGCTTTACATTCCGCTCTTTGATAAAACCCCTTGATGACATTTACATGCATCCCATCTGACAGTGTTGACCAATGTGGATCTTCAAAGCCAACAGGTGCGAGGCCATAACAACGAGGCGGGGATGGCCAGAGCGCAGGATGACAATTACCCGTAAATTCAAAGCCATAAACCTGCCTCTCCCTTACATGTTGGGGCAAGGGTCGTCATGTTTACAATAGCTTGACCAGCAGGTGCCCGACCGGACAGGACACTGGACAGAAGAGTCACTGCATGACTGAATTCACTTTACACGTAAAGCATCCATTATAGAGGAAACCAAGTGTGGTTTGTTTAAATTCCGCTATTATATTGGCGTCAGCTTCGTGTGTTTTGCCTATCGCAAGTTGAATTTGAAGCACTTCTTTTGATGACTGTCACTTAGGAATCCGTCTCGAAGAGACAAGGTGGCGTTATCCTTCATGTGATGTCAATACGTCTTGCACGCGTTCTTTGAAACCTTCCCACTTCCCACTGAATACGTGTTTCCATGGACTGACACACCGACGAGAAATATGGTAATGCCACACGACACACTTACCCGTCCATTCCCGGGTAGATAATGGTGACGTCGGGTGCCCACCCTTATCTACTGATTTATGGACAGAATATGCAGTTACGCTTCATTCATTCGGTGAAGGGGGGAATCTATTCATGAAGAGATGAAAGGACACGCAGGGTGAAAGTCTCCTGTGAAAGTGTGCCGTGTTGTGGTAACCATTAAAGACCGTTCAAGAACCGTAGGTGGCTGTACAGCCATATACCTGTAGTTTCTTTAGTCTTTCTCTAAACTCCTTTAAATAAAAGCGACAAAACCATTTCCACAATCGTGAGAATTCTCGGCTAAAAGAAGAGTCAGTAGTTCTGGCTATGTCAGAAGCACGTATTCATGTTTATCATATCTACATCTAACAGAACTCCATATAACCTGAAATTATTTCTATATTTTATAAATCAGTGCATGTTTAGTTGCTATAAATCTACAACTTTGATTTATGGATAGTTTTATTATCATTAATATATCTTAAAACGTATCACATTCTTGTTTATATGAAGAAGTAAAAGCTTAGCGGCTCCGGTTACAGCCATGGAAACAGCTGGAAGTTGGTGGACTTTCAGTTTGTGGTAGATTTTAAGTATAAACAAAATAAACCAGTGTTCTGTTTTATTCCCACAAAAACATCATGTGCACTCATAATAATTAATTTTCCAGGATGCACTAACACATATGAGCGTAAAATGATTTGGTATATTTTACATACACTATAACAAATTCGTGATTGTTTACTTCGAGAAAACCTTTAATAAATGGGATCCTTAACGTCTATTAAATACAATCATAATTTCTAAACAAAAACATAATTCGATCCGATTACTAGTATGGAGATAGATATATTTGGTAAGAATTTCGGTTAAGAAACAAAAGCAGACATTATTTCAACCATACCTGACACAGATATGTGACGTTGTAGATATACACTCACGCAGGTATTGAGTACAGCTGCCTTCAAGTCAACACAGAGAATCTCAATCTGTCTTCATCTCGTTTAATACCTTGCTTGTGGCTGAAAACAGCCTCTCATTGACTGGAAACAGCTGCCTCTTGGAACATTCGACCTGCTGGCTTTTCATCTTGGAGTTTCGTAGGAGCTCGGCCCGATGGTAACCGTTGGGGGAATATCGAACCCTCCCACACCAACAAACCCCGTAACTCCTGTTAGCGGGGGAGGACAAATGGTTTTAGGGAAATATCCAATTTGTTTTGCAACAAATGTCGACAATCATCCTGCTTGCGTATTCACCGTAGGCAGTTGTCTTACCCTTAAGTCGGGGTTGATAGGTTCGTGTTGGGTACTGGTCAACGTGCTGCACGTGCTTGGAATATATATATATATTTGCAAAGTGTTGGTTTCCGTATTGAAGGGAAAGTAGTATTGCGCAAGCACATACAATTGATTAAAATCTGAATGGGTAGTTTCAGAGGGAGGTGTATTCTATTCGACTTTAATTGATAATCTTGATGTTTTCAATTCGGTTTATTTTCGTAAGTGTAGGCCATCGGCCCATAGTTACATTTGTATTAAAATGGACGTGATGTACACAGCTGTTACTGTTGTGACCATATACATAATGTACTACGAAATGACATCGCTTGATAGATATAGATAGCTAGACGTTCAATTAATTTACAATCAGTTGTAGACATAATGATATGAAGTAGTAGTTGTTTGGTCGGATATTCACAAAAAAATTGTGGTAAGTGATCCATGCGTAGCTTGTTATAACCGGAACAAACTAACAAAAAATTATACTCGTCCTCCACATACCCAGCAAACTCAACATAGTCTTCGGTTATGTGGGATATCAGCGTATCTCCCAGTTTCCACACAGCTGATGCGAAAAACATCTAAACCAAGCTAACGCCACTCTCAATTTACTGACGGTCACACAGCTAAGATACAGCTCTGTACCAAACGATACCTTGAATAGAGAATAAGAGAACGAATTACTACCCTTTTCCAGAAGACTATGCCAATCCTGTTCATAACTACATTTCAGACGCGACATAAATTCTGTCAAAAACGAATGAGGATGACTTATACACTGGTTTTCCCATACAGAGCCAAAACCCAAACCGAACAATAAGGATTGATGTTGAAACGTATGTCAACATGGAGATGAAGGTAAAAAATGATTTGTTACCATTCTGTCTTGGTAACGATGGTAACGATGAAGTAATTGACACTGATCCAACCTCTGTGATACGTTTGCTATATTAATTTGTTAGTAAAGATTATACATGATTTTGATGTTTTGAGATTTTGGGATTTATATGGAGGAAAATAAAGATCTGACGTTCATTCATCCATCTACTTACACACACGTAATTTGTTTTGTGATATTGTTATATTATTTCACGTATGCTGTGAAAAGTCTTGTTTGCCTGTCAAACATATAGTTTGTGTGATATTCTTTCAAGTGCAAGTGATCAGATAACCCACCTATCAATGAATTTACCAGTTTAAGCATATATATACATTGCGTGTCAACAAGAATGAATACAGTTCTGGATTTCAACCCAAACCCACCCGTACCATAATGTCAAAACCCCGCGCACTCATTCTCTCAATCTTATAGACAGTAGTAAATTTTTATATATTAATTGCAAGTGACGCCAAGGAATGTAATTGGCTAACCAAGCAATTTGTTTCTGCGTTAATGTTTCCATAAGATGATAATATAGACCACGCGCACTACCGGACTACTGTTTCCTGATTGGCTGAATTTGGCTGGGCTTGTGTTGTATAAATGCGCTGAACGAAGCCACTGACTTCGTACCGTTGTCTAGTGTTTTGTGTTAAAGTTTAAATAATCAGTCTGAGAAGTTATTATAATTGTTTATGGAGGTAAACCAAAATAAAATCGATTCTTACGTACACTATTAATATTGTCCTGAATTTAGCTGATTGAGTATGTATTATCTATTTTAAGTGAATGTCGGTAATACGCATTTATGTCATCCGAATATTTCGTCTCCCCTTTCGCCAGAAACCTATGATTGTGGGTTCGAATCCCGGTTCGCCCCGATTATGTTTCTAGGTTTGTCAGCACCATACCTGTGCTCGTGGGTTTCACCGAAATGGTAAACGTCTGAGACCTGCATCACTTCGGGCTTTCCTCCCACATAAAGCTGACACGCCTAGATATAACTGGAATACTGTTAAAAGCGGCGTTAAACTCTCTCTCTCTCTCTCTCTCTCATTGTTGAACGTTGTCCATTGTATTGTGAGTATACCGGTCTATACGGAAGGATATTGCCGCCATCGAGCCACACTCCATCGCCTCACACTTGATGTGGGCGGGAGCTTGTCTCTGAACTGTCATTGCCACGAGGTATACAAATAGATACCAAGGCTCTTAGACATTTCAATACACAGAGAAAGATAACAGCTTGCGAGTCGTAGAATTAGACTTTAACAGACCGATGTTATTTCTTATTGAGCGCGAACAGCTGAAATTGCAGATACGGCATTAATCAATAGCTATCTGAATGAGTTTAACCTTGAGAGGGTAACTGTAAATTAAACAACTAAGTAAAGAAACGGTTTCAATACACTGTTACATATTCACAAAAAACAAACCCAAGTACCTAAGTTAGTTCGTCGTCCGTTGTTTAACGCCGCGATCAGCAATATCCCATCTGTATGACGGTGGTCTGTCAATAATCGAATCTAGACAAAACAATCCAGTGATTGGCATCCACGCAACTGGGATATGATGTCATGTCATCAACCAAGTCGCCGATCCAAACCACCCAATCCAATTAGTCGCGATCGCCTCTTACGACCAGCCTAGGTTCCTGGGGACCTATATTCTTACCTGGAATACCCACGGTGAAATACCTGCGGCAAGAATATCATGTAACGTTTGCCTGAAAGGCGATACGATGGATAACTTCCTGGTTCATGTTCCATGAAACCTCGAAACAGCATGGCTCGCTGAATACCATGCCAATAACATTTACGCCAATCACCGCAGTTGTTCCGAATTACGTATTATCACCGTGATTTGCGGAATATTAACACTGGGACCCGTGAAGATCTGGGATAGAGTAGATCTTCAGCAACCCATGCTTGCCGTAAAAGGCGACTATGCTTGTCGTAAGAGGCGAATAACGGGATCGGGTGGTCAGGCTCTCTGACTTGGTTGATGCATGTGATCGTATCCCAATTGCGTGGATCGATGCTCATGATGTCAACCACTAGATTGTCTGGTCCAGACTCGATTATTTACAGAACGCCGTCAAAGAGCTGGAATATTGCTGAGTGCGGCGTTAAACAAATAAATAAAAAGAACCTATTGCCCAATAACAACGGTCAAGTTAAAAACTGTTTATTGTGATATATATCTGCAATGCAATCAATAATTAAAGCCGTCCCTGCTCAGAATACAATCTCAACAGTAGGTCGGCCAATAGCCGGTTATAACATAATGTATATATTCCTATATATTACATATTGTGTAGACAGGAATCAGAGGTAATCGTGTCTCCAGAGATCAACATGTAAAACATACCCCTCACCCTAATACTTAAGTCATCGTTCTGTGACTTTCAGCGTATTTGACGGTAACCGTGACTACACAGCGCATCTTGCCTTACCCTGTAGACGCAATTTGTAAAAGAAAAAATTATACCAATACATTCGCCCATGTGTGCATTCGTATTTCTTTCTCAGCTCCCCGGGGAGTATATTAACCAATCTGCCTGATAAATGCAAAAAGGTTGTGCATTCTCATCACCATCTCATAAAAATCGGCTGATTCAGTATTCAATACGATGACGTCCATGGCCAAACGTACACAATCCCAGTCAGCAGATATGTATATCCAGGGTTCCAACAAGTTTTCAGATTTGATTCCTTGAGCCAAAAGTCCCTCGTCAGTTAATTAAAAGCGAATGGACCCCCCTGCAGTTCTTCAATTTCAGTCGCACCAGATTCCTCTCACAATGACACTACCAACACGCTAGGCTAAAGTACACGTGTATAACAAAATATTCCCATTGCTCATATTTCAGTGGTGTTGGCACATAATCGTTTGTAAGCATTAGCGTCTCCGCATAAAATCACCAGCGTTATCGGAAACAGGTGAACATACAAACAAATACAATTAAATGGCAATCGATCTAAAAACAAGTCATCCGAGGCAAGATACTATGCATAGCCACGGAGTTAAGACACATTAAAACCCTTGCATAGTTGTAGGAGTGAAGTCGCATCAAAAAGACGCGACTACAAAAATCCATCCTGATTTAAAGTAAGCAAAGACTTCATTAGAAGTAAATGTACTAATTAATGCCTGTGATCAACGCGCCTTGCTTAGCACAACGCCTATAAACACCATTGACGTCAAACCTTCCATTTGTTCGGCAAAGTTCGGTGATATAGTTTATACGTTAAACCTTTATACACTGACGCCATTTGTTCCGACAAAATGTCGACATTGTCGAAGCCCTCTTCTAGTCCGAACCTGACGATGTCGACAAGACGTTTGGTAATGGGAGAGCGAGCCATCTCGTTCCGAAGCTGCTCCAAGGGCATCCATTGACAGGCCTTCACCTCTGCGCTGCATGGTGACAGTTCAAAGGTGAGAGGTCGCAGGCGGCAGACGACGTAGATGTCGGAGCGGCCAAACGCTCCAGGTTGCTGATGTTGCTGTCGGAATGCCAGGATAGACTGGAATTCTGAAAAAAAGATGCAAAGGAAGGTGAGCCTAATACAAACTAGATTTGAGTGGGTCGAGTTTTACGCCGTTTTAAGCAGAATTCCAGCAGTATCAGAGGGGCGCGCCAATACTAAGAGTGGCAAAGAATTAACGCTTCAACTACTAAGCAGCCTAGTCGCCCTTATTACACGTGAGACCACGGGCAGTTTTTATGTGGCGTTATGAGGAGCGCCGGACCCATGGGGTTACCATACCGACAGTAACCTGTAGGTCAAAAAACCTCTTCGAGATATGCATTTCTTGTTATTCGATTTATTTTAAGAAAACACACTGATTTCGTTAAAAATAGTGAACAAAACCAAAGTAAATAAGCTTCTTAGTTTATTGTTTAACGCCGCACTCAGTAACATGCCAGCGACATGACAGCGGCCTGTAAATTTGATTGATTTTAATGATGTACGACCAACGCCGTCAGGGTACGATGACAAATAATCCGATCCATTTAGTCGCTTCGGACGCCAGGCAACTAGGGAACAGTTCTGCCCGGAATCCCCCTGGGTCGGTTTGTGGGAAATAAATGTTGGCAACATACACTGTGAACAATTAATTAATTATACAGACACGTTTAACATGGCATTGCGGTGTTCGGGTAGCAACATGGTTAAATGGTTGGCTCTTCATCAAAGACCCGAGTTCGATTCCCCAAATAGGTATAATACGTTCTGGTGTTTCTGGTGTTGTTGAAATTCTGTTAAAACTGGCGTAAAACTATACTCACTCACCATGTTATTCATGGAGAACGAAACATCAAAAGCTAGTTGGGTCCACCGTGATGGAGTGACGGATCACCTCAGTGTTACTCGCGATCTATGGTATGTCGTAGTTGTCTGCACCCACAGGTGAATGAGTGAGTGAGTGAGTGAGTTGGGTTTAACGCCGCTTTTAACAGTATTACAGTTATATCGCGGCGTGTTAACTTAATGTGGGAGGAAAGCCCGAAGTGATGCAGGTCTCAGACGTTGACCACTTCGGTGAAACCCACGAGCCAGGTATGGTGCTGACAAACCTAGAAACATAATCGGGGCGAACCGGGATTCGAACCCACAACCATAGGTTTCTGGTATGCCCAAGGGACGCAACTCTGCACGGCGAATCGCGGCGCCTTAGACGACTGGGCCACCCGTGCCCCCCCACAGGTGAGTGATGTGCTGACGTGTCACTCACCTTACTATAGTTAATGACAAAGATTAACTATAGAAATAAGAAATATGAAAAAATCGGGTGGTCCTTAACTGCTTTTGAGCAGTATATTTCCAGACTGCAGCGCTGTCGCTGTAATATCATCGACGAGGGCAAATATACAGCCACCCTAAACTCAAATTAATTACGAATATATAAGAATAAAATACACCTCCGACCCCCTCCTCCCCTTCTGTAGAAAGTGATGACCACTGCAAATACTGTTATGAGGTCAGTATGCCCTCCTGGATGAACGCCCCACGGCTGTGGACCCACCGCGCTCCCCCTCGTGATTACAGACAGTTCCCTGAAGGATTAGTATAGAGTTGCAGCCAGGTAGGAATATACCACACACCTGACAAATATATACGGGCACTGGATTAAAGGTCAGCCCATCTGGGACAGGGTACGCGTGACGTCATCGAGCCTTCTGGGAGGCCCTGATGTCAAACTGCGTCGTGCTTACATTAGTACGTCAAGCGGCATTTCCAGACTTACTACTGTGATCCTGAAGGATTGCCATTGGCTGCCAAAGCAGAACCGTGAGATGACGGGGGTTCTCGGTTTATTGAAAATGCCAATCACAACCATAGGTAAATATATTTGATTACACATCACCACTGTATTCGAGTCCAAATAGAGCATGTGTGCGCGTGTTGTATAACCTCCTGTAAAAAGACCGTCATATATGTTCTAAAATTTACCAAAGTAAAGTTGTTGCTTTTGATGTATTTTTTGTTTTGTTTTGTGGTGTTTTTGTTTGTTTTTTGTTTTGTTTTAAGCTTACGTTGCTGGGTCTTATTCTAACCCGGAATCCCCACGAGATTGCAGTCAGCAATATTCCAGCTATGTGACAGCAGTCTGTAAATGGTCGGGTATGGGCGAACAGTCCAGTGATTGGCATCATGAGCATCGATCTATGCAATTGGGTTACGATGACATGCATCAACCAAGTGAGATAACCTGACCACCCGATCCCGTTAGACGCCTCTCACTAGCATAGTCGCCTTTGACGGCAAGCATGGGTTGCTGAAGACATATTCTACCCTGATACTCTTGGGTTTTATAAATATAATTAAATTGGTCATTGTTCATGACATCATCAGCTGTCATCCTAGACCTAGCTGTTACTATCTTTGGTGTCATCACTGCTTCCATTACCTTGATACTTTTACTACATATAGTTATCATAGTCATTTCTTGCAAAGATCATAAACGGAAAATTATTCCTTGAGTCGACCCTTACGACAAGCATGGATTGGTGAGTGAGTGAGTGAGTAATTGAGTGAGTGAGTATGGTTTTACGCCGCTTTGAGCAATATTCCATCAATATCAGTGAGTGAGTGAGTTGGGTTTAACGCCGCTTTTAACAGTATTCCAGTTATATCGCGGCGTGTCAGCTTAATGTGGGAGGAAAGCCCGATGCGGGTCTCAGACGCTTACCACTTTGGTGAAACCCACGAGCACGGGTATGGTGCTGACAAACCTAGAAACATAATCGAGGCGAAACGGGATTCGAACCCACAATCATAGATTTCTGGAGTGCCCAGGGGACGCAACTCTGCACAGCGAATCGCGGCGCCTTGGACGACTGGGCCACCCGTGCCCCCTCCCCCCATCAATATCAAGGCGGGGGACACCAGAAATAGGCTTCACACATTGTACCCATGTACCCGTGACGAGCGAACGCCTTAACCTCTAGGCTACCCGACCGTCCCTCGTGGGTTGAAGGGTCAGTGCCTTTTGTAATAGGAGAGCGGAAGGTCCGGGGTTCGATCCCCGGCCGCGTCATACCGAAAGACGTTAAAAGATGGTACTTGTTGTTACCCTGTCTGGCGCTCGGCATTAAGGGGCTAAAACAAGGACTGGTCGGCTCGGAGTCAGTATACTGTGTCTGAGTGGGGTATTCATGTTAAACTGCGGCATGGTATCTCAGTGAGCTAGCACTATAAATCGGCATCAGTCCGGCCTAGTACAAGCAGCCACACACACACACACACACGTGCATGCACGTCGCTATATAAGTGCAATAATCTTGGACGCGACGTTAAACCGAATTTCACCTCACCTCACCTTTTGTAATATATATAGAGAGATGTTTCCAACACGACCCGTCCAGATGGTGGGGTTTCTAAGTGAGTGAATGACTATGGTTTTACGCCACAATATAAGGTCCGGGGACACCCAAAATGGGCTTCACACATTGTACCCATGTGGGGAATCGAACCCGGGTTTTCGGCGTGACGAGCGAACGCTTTAACCATTAGACTAACCCACCGCCCCGTGGGGTTTCTGAACAAACGGGCAACAGAATACTGTCAGTATGTTCATAATACATAGGTTATTAATTACTACATTAATGGGTGAATTAGAATCTAATGTCGGTTCGTCATTGTTTCAGCCATATAGAATTACACTTATACGACAATAATCACATGTTTCTCCGCTATATAAAGTACATTCATCATTAACAAATCATCTGGAACACTACTTTTCTGACAAAGCATCATTTAATATATTCGTAAAACGTATGTCATCAAACTGCAAGTTAGCTATAAGTCATCTTTCCAAATTTCGTTTCATGCTCTGAAGCTCCGAGTGTCACTCCAATTAAAACGTGGCCTAGCTTTATGTTCAGTCACCGTGAAAACTGGAAAAAAAACCAAAGTTACGGACCATGAATATTTTTGGGGTTATTTATGTAGTGAGGACTAAGCACACAATTAAAACAAATACATATCTTTACTTTTTTGTGCAGTATATGTTGTATCAGTTCATTGTTAAACTCTCAACTTGAAAGGTTTCCTCTTTGACTATATCTGGTTATACTATGTCCCGTGACCTCGCAAATCTGAATACATCTGAATACATCTGTATGTTCAAAGAGAGGCTGTCTCCCAGACCCCAGAGAATAAATTAAAAAAGTCAAACTGAAGCATAGAATGGTTTGGCAAGTCTAGACTGCCTCAGTTGAAATTAAGGATTGTTGTGGTCTCCTTTTTGATATTAATATTTTTTATTATTTTGTAGATATATATTTTTAAATAAGATGTGGTTAGCACCGTGTGATCATTACTTCACCAACCAGAACCACCCCAGCTCTTCAACCAGTGTGACAGTCTCCTCACATGGTACAACTCGACACAGCTGGCCAACACCCTGTCGCAAGGACACTTGATATGATAATAATCTTCACACGATGACCTCAGCATCCGAACATGTGTACTTACTAACATACCACAACCTGGCTAATACGTCCCCTAAATGCTTCAGTATTCTCCACACTGAATACTTCAAATGTACCACATAGTATAGTCACAATGCACGGTACTTACGTTACTCATGTGGCCACAGATACAAGCAACAAGCACGAAGAAATGTAATCCGACTATGATTTGCCTAAATATTTGGATGACCTGGGCTTATAGGAAATATTCTTATCTATAGATATATTGATGTTGGCGAGCAATCGCCAAAGACCCGCGACTCTGAACATTGGGCCATGGCCAGGAGTGGGACTGGGCTACCGTCTGTCTGATCCACCAGCCCGTGCCCAGTGAACGCCCGGGACAAAAGGGGAACCATTTGTTAGAAAATTTGACAACAAGCGCGCGTGAGTCCGTCAAAGCTGTAGGTGGGTGAGGAACAACTGAGCTATTTGTTCGATATTGAGTTATTTGTCGTTTATTGTTAGCCTCATGCTACTGTAGGTTGTCTCGCTCCTTTGAATAGAGCAAAGATTGAACCGCCCAAGGAGAATCGTAGCGGAGATAGAGCTCC